TAATATGGACATACCTATATAAAGTGGTACTCATCTTAATGTTTCCCAGCATAGAAATAGCAACATCACATCCTACATTATATATCATACGTGAACATTTGTCCATATCAAGAATAGTGAATGGACATAAACAATTTTCAACTATCTGAGGAGATTAATATTTTTGAAACTGATATAGTTCACTGGATTCACAAACGTTTGAATACCAGCCTTGTTCATGTACAATCTCTTCATCGTTATACAAAGTTATTCTCAATTAAAATATATTACCAACGTTTTGCGTGATCCATGGACCATAACCGTAAACAAAAAGCCTTTCGATAATGATAAAACGTATCTGCTAAAAGCCGATTTTTTCGATTCCAACTAAAGCATAAACTTGTGTTTATTTAGGAATTGGAATTTCTACCTGGATTTGCAAAGGGAGAAAATAAATAACCAAGAAGTTTAACTTAAGGTTGAGGCATATCGGTGATCTGATATCGTCCATAACCATCAAATAGCACATTCCCTTCCACCGAAGTCATCCATCTTGTTCTACAATCTTGATGACCGGTTTTGTCACTCTGAAATCATCTATGCATAGATGCTAATATGAAACAGATGAGGCGGTTTCACTTGTGTCTTGTATTTCTAGTTCAGATGGATAAATCAATGGAAGGGAATACCTGAAACTTAAGTTAAACTCCATGGCTATTTTTTTGTTTTGTCAATCCGACATAAATTCCGATTCCTGTGCATAAAGAAACAGATCAGCAAGGAGGGGAGCACACTTGGTGCCCAGGGGGATGCCTTATTATTGTCTTGTCTGAATTCCCTATCCATAAATTCAACACAGATCTTCTCTGTAAACCTCATGTGTTGATTGCTTTCATTTTTGACAAATTATCCCCTATCTTTGAAGAAAGAGACGTATGCCTACCTTACGTGTATAGTCACTGCGTTTAGTGACAAATGCTCCAAGGATCAAGGAATGCAGTTTTTCCTTCAGTTTGTCGTGTGGGGTAGTGGTGAAAGTGGAAATATCACATGATTTGACACAATCGAACGTGTTTTTTTTCTGAGATAACAACATTACAGGCAAATCCTTGGAGTTTTTGAGATTTCATATGGTATCAATTCCAATTGTCTCAAATACTTTCCGTGAATTTAACGAACGATTTTGCTTGATTGTTTTAAGTATTATGATTATTCTTTGAGACAGGCATTTTTATGGAGCAACTGCTGAATCCAGCAATATATCTTTCTTTGTACGGATATGTTTTGAGCTTTGGAGTCAAGCCAAAAGTTGACAAATATCGAAACTCGATCTGGGCAGATTTCTTCCTCAGTTACCGTAAAGACCATACATATGACATTATTTGATTCGTCACTTGTTCCGAGTTCTTTGATCAAACAATTAGTGCAGTGAAAGTAATTTGAGACTTTGTCAGTGGGAATGAACAACCACAGACTTTTCAAATTAGGCAACACGACTTTGGAAGTATGTTGAGTGGAGCACACTATTAGCTTCCAGGCCCACATTCTGAAACAAATAATAGCATAGAAATATAATTTACTAATTTGGATGATAAGGTGTTCGTATAGGAAAATGCAATTTAAATCATTGTGGACCTGATTTTTGTCTGCGAGTGTTAAATTAGTTTATAATCAAACGTCAACGCCAGAGAAGAACCAGCCTCGAACATCCTCGAAACAGATTCCATTGGGCATAAAAGGCAAAATAATGGTAAAAATGAAATAAATAGATCACTGAAAATCGGTGAGGACAGCATCTATTTCTAGTTTACGGCATATATTACTAGTTTGTTTTTGATTTAATGGAGTCTGTTTCTGGTTTGGTCAAAGCAATACCAAGGACTATATTAGAAGGTGATAACAATTTTAACCAGTACTTAATGCATGTCTCGCGATAGTCAAGAAATAAACCGCCTCTAACACCAATTATAGAAACATTTGAAACATAATTACCCACACCCATTGCGTACACGCCACACATCACATGTACTAGGGAATTTTGGTTTAATCAAATATCTTAAATACAATAGATGGTGAAATATTCTTTAACCTGTACCTTAACTGTTTAACATAAATTAAAGCTGTATTAGCTTTATGAAAAAGGATATTAACTAATTTAGACCAACACAACATAAACGTGCCAGCAAATGCATACGCGAATTGAAATATTAGTTTCATGGAAACACGTGTAACTCTACATTGCGACCATGAGTTCACTCAGAGAAATCATTCAGAGAAATCATTCAGAGAAGCCGCTTCATTTTGATGTCAACGCTGCTCCCTGTAATTATAAACAACCACGTCCATTCCGACACCGACAATTAAGGCACCTGTATCATGCTCCAACATACTCCTTTCTCCCATCACCCAGTAAACGAGGATTAATGTAATACTGATGTATGTGTCAAGAAGGATATATGGCAAATCAATACCACGTATTGTGTTGGTTGAATACACTACCGGCCTGTATGGAAACGCCTAACTTAAGGCAAACAGTCGTTATCACTGTTTAGACCATCAACTGATGTTAACAAATAATACAAACTGTTTGTAATGTTTGTGTTTCAAACTGTATTGGTGCGTAAAATGTATTGATCAGTTGAATTTAGTTCATACAAGTGCGCTTTTTCCCTTGCAGTTCAGATTTCAACTCAATCGCTAAGGTCAATTAATAATGTAATGTACATTTGGACACTGAACGTATCTCGTAGCTGCAGTAATAATGGTTCTGAAGCAGAGTGAGTGAGTTGGGTTTTACGTCGCTTTTAGCAATATTCCAGCAATATCACGGCAGTGAAATAGGCTTCACACGTTCTACCCATGTGGCGAATCGATCCCACCGCCCCTGATTGCAGATGGAGAATTGCAAAAATATAATAAATCCTTAAGATAACAAAAAAAGGTTAACAGATTAAGCTTCATTTTCATCTCAACATACCTGCTGTATTCCGAATGTTTAAAAAAGACGTCATATATGAACTTAAACTTTGCTATTATAAATGTTATATGAAATAAGGGCTGGGATTGTTTTGAAAATATATAACTTGTCTCAGAAAAGAAATGGGAAACTTTTATGTAGCCGCCGATTTTACTCCCAAAAGGTAATATTGTTCGCTACACAAGATGGATGTTCCAAAGATAAGGTGTTGTGAATCCCCCTTTTCACAGAATGAAAAATATGCGGGTATTGTGGCAGTGACCGAAAGCACTGTCTACAGAGTGGGTCTCCAAATGGCAGAGATTTCACAGAGCAAGGGCCAAAACGCCAATTTTCAAACTAATTTGTCATCATGACCAGCAACATCAGTGTGTAAAATTTCATTTCTCTGACTTAAATAGTTTTTGAGAAAATCTGTCCCCTTTGAGAAGCGGAGGGACGCCGGCCGGACGGACTGACGGACCGTTCTTATTTACCTCGTTCCTCTTCGTGGCGGGGGATATTAATGTACGGTGCTCGTTTGAGCTGCAAGCGTTCGCCACTAAATGCCGTATATGTAAACCTCATGTGATGCAAAAGTTGTCCCAAAGCAAGTTTATCTTGTGTTCCAAAAGAATATGAGCAGAAAGGAATTTTACCGAAGACCAGAAAATGAAGGATTAGAAAACATTGAAAAACTTATTTTGTCATGTAACTCTCATGATATCAGCAGACCATATCAGGTGTCACATAGACATCCTAGGGAGTGCAGTCAAGTCAGAAACGTCAGTAACGTGTGTATGATCCACGGACATTGACCACAGCTTCAACCCTACGCCTCATACTCATTACAAGTCGTTGAATGCTTCTCTGAGGCAAACGGATCCATTCTCCTTGAAGTGCGGCTTCAAGTCCAGCGAGATTTTGAACTGGGGGATCACGATGTCTGATTTTCCGGCCAAGAATGTCCCAGAGATGCTCAATCGGATTAAGATCCGGACTACAGGCCGGCCAAGGAAGAGTGGCAATAGTTTCTTGACGCAAATAAGCCAAAACTGCCCGAGATCTGTGTGGTCTAGCGTTGTCGTCCATGGAAACAGGTCTTGTCTGAAGAGGATGGTTGTCAAAATGAGGGACTACCACTGGACGAAGAACGGCATCTTGGTATTGTTGGCCATTCAGGTTTCCACGAATTGTCACCAGCGGAAGTTTGCAGCCGAAGGAAACACAACCCCATATCATGACAGACCCCCCACCACATGCCAAGGTCTTCTGGATGTTCCTTGGTGCAAAACGAGTGTTACGTTGCCTCCAAACACGTATTCGACCATCAACAGTTCGTAGCAGCATTCGACACTCTTCAGACCAACGGATCCTTCTCGAGTTGGCCAAGTTCAATCGACTACGGGCACGACAGCATATCAGAAGATCCGCATGTGCCTCTCAGTCAGTTGAGGACGTTTACTGGTCTTCTGGCGTTATAACCAGCCGCTCTGAGGCGACGTCTTACGGTCATCGTCGAGAGTCTCTGATGGGTAATACACTGCAGTCTTAAATCTGTTGAAGTGGCAAATGGATTTCGTCCGACTTTCCTGAAAATACGTCTATCCTCTCTGTTAGAGGTCTTTCGTGGCCTACCAGACCTATGCCTGTCATTGACATCATTAGTTTGACCATGTTTGACAATCAAACGAGTGATAACACTGTGATGCAATGGCCCTGCATGACATGCCAGCATTTTTCATGCCTTGCCATCTTTCAGCGTTCGTTAACTTTCTCCTCACCATGGCTGATTTTCAACCTCTATTGGAAGGGGAATCTCACACAGGAGCAAAATGCAACCACGTGTCTGAAACTTGAATTTCACTATTTATAGGGTAGGGGAACTTCAGCAACACGTAAAGCACGCTTTCCTTGTGGTATCATGAAACTATGGAAGCCTAATTCAGTCATACATCATCGTATTTCGTATTTCTGATTCCCACACGTGAAATCAAGAGACTATGAATATGGTGGCGCTTAACTTGTGTGCATGTGTATATATAATAGTTTGTTTCATCAACAGCGGCAACAATCAGAGACAATGAGCACGTCGACATTCGACGACGTCTCCTCGACGTCATCGTCGTACCAAACAACCCCATCGCCCATGAATGTCTACCACAGGGGTAACCGGTCGGAACGGAGGAACACCAAATCCAAGAAGAAGAAAGAGGAACCAAAGAAGAAGGAAAAGGAAAAGGATGCCACAACCGCATTAGGTAATGGTACTAATGTGGTCAGTGAGTGTGTGAGTGAGTGAGAACTGTTTTTCGCCAGAAATGGGCTTCTCATATGAACCCATTCAGGCTATTGAACACAAGCTTTCGACGCGAGCTACCACTACCACAAACCAACACTAGGCTACCCTACCGCCCCTTCTTTAACCTATTTAGCTACGCGCATTTCTTAAGATATACGCTTACTAATGACTACTGTAGTATATTGGTCCGACGATTATTGTTCTGTGTTTCAGTGGACAGACTCCATTCATCGCTGGACAATCTTGACCGGTTCCTTCAAATGAATCTCCAGGATGAGATATTTCTGGCCCGTAAGGACCTGATGCCAAAACACTTTGAAAAAAGTGACAAGTTGAGGAAACGTTGGAGGAAACTGGAGCAGGACCTGGTATACGAGGAACTCCTCGTCACCATCAATGATGCCAAGGACAGGAAGAAAAGCGTATGTAGTGTAAATACCTCGTCATCCTTGAATTGGAAAAGAAGATACCTGATAATCCTGTTTCTAAAAACAGTAAAACATTTCGTAGTCATGATTCGGTAACATTGTGTTTGTTGAATGTTCTCAGTTCCCAACTCAAGGATGACAAATATACTGCTTAACCTTTGATAGGGTTTCATTGTTCATGATATCCCAACTAATCAATTGGATTTGTGTGTTTTGGGTCCGAAGAAGCTCTATATATGTGTATCCCTATCGAACGTTGACTGGTATATATTATTAGCAGTTTTCATACAGTTTCCATTGTACATCACCTTTTTTCATCAATGGCATGTCAATTGCATGTGCACGGCACTTATAATGTTAAAACTATCCATTTTCCTGTTGTTCAGATGTATATTTTACGTGCATCCTTAGCTTATAATTGGGGTGGCTGAAAAGATTTGAGCCTAACTTCGAAGGATATATGGTACAATCATCACAGCTTGAATGTATTATGTACAATACGTTCCATGCTAACAGGCAGCATTCGAACCAGGCATCATATTTGTGCAGGCATCAAAATGACTAAGTATTCCCAGTGGACGAAAATTGACAAAACTGTCAACCGCGCTTTCATGAAGTATCTCTATCTCAACTCATACAGCCATCCATGTGGACATGGTGTCAACTTTAGGTGATGGTACTCGTTCCATTGTCACTGTTTAGAGGTAGGAAGAGGAGTTCAAGATATGCGAGAGAGCCTCAAAGATGATCCAACATCAAAACGATCTTCAATTGCCACCCATTAGGAAATGTTGATGAAATACATGATATGATTATGGATGATCAACAATTTATCAAACGTCGCATGGCCAATACAGTAGGCACCACTTATGAGAGAGTTGAGGACATTCTGAGGAATGAACTGTCGGAGGCGAAAGACTTCAGCACAATGGGTTCCAAGAAACGTTCCAGATTCATTATATCTCGTGAGGATTTACGTCGCTTTGATGCAGCCCAGGTGATTGTCTTGATCGATTTATAACCATGGATGAGTCTTGGGTGCACTATCAGCAAGCGGCTAAACATCAGTCAAAGCAATGAAAATATCTAACGGTTCCGAAGAATGCAAAGTCTGTTCCATCAGCTGGCAAGGTGACGACTTCGGTTTCCCGGGATTTTAATGGTCATACTGATCTACAACATTTATACCTCCCGAAAGGTCAGACATTTAAAGCTAATATTATCTGCTTTGGCAACTACTGGAGAATATCAAGGGTACACTTGAAGGACGAACTGTCTGGCAAGCATGATGCAAGTGATGTTGATGCCATTCCTGCTGTGAAGGATCTTTTACCTCGTGAGGAGGAAGACATTTTCACTAGTGGAATCCAGGCAATAATTAACAACCACCTCCATCAACGGAGTCCTTTATACTTAAGCTCAGAACACTTCAGTCACCCCTCGTTCACCGTAGTTTATTTTATTTGGGATCGTATCAGTTAGTTTTTTAAATTGATTAATACTATTATTTGAATATTCCATTTACCACGAATAATCTGTTGAAACAACTTTAAAACTTCATTGTTTCCATTGTTATTTAATCACTTCTCATATCATTCGTTATAATAGATGAATATATTTTTGAGATTTCAGAGTAAGTTAATTATCTTTCTCACATGTATTTATCACTCACTTTTTTCACTACCACAAACGCATTCACGTTTTCTTCTCACTCCTATCACAATTATGCATAAACAGTAATGTTCAAGTAACAACGAGAAAGACATAAGTAAAATGAAAAGTAAAGTAAACAAAAACCCAACAAACAACAAGAACCAAGTCCCGTTTCATAGAAAAACATATTAATCTGTGAACAATACTTTTAACAAGACTAATTGTCATTTGATATCTTCTATTCCATCTTCCTAGTAAAATAGTTCAATCTCAACAAAGTGTTTAAACAATTGGGCGGAATTCTGAACTTAATTCTGAATGATCACAATTCTCATTTGAATAAGGAACGACATTTAACACAGCATAGCGATCGTAGTCCGATTAGTCCGAATTTATGGTTGTGAATTATAGGGTTGTCTTTTTCGAGAGCTGCTAGTAATTTTGAAAACTGGTCTAGGTCTGCCTTAATGGATGTTCATTCACTGTCGAAACTGTACCATGTACACATATTTTGATTCCTTTATTTAAAGACGCCGATTCATTCATAATATATCTTTGATTCCTTTAACAACGCGGAAGTTCACCCCCACGGTGATTGGCGTGGATAAATGAGATACTATAGCAAAACCTTGTATAAAGTATAAACAATATTGTGGCTTTATAAACTGATAAATATATATTTAATTTTGTGAAAAATATTATAATGTAATCCTACTGACAAAATCAATGCAAAGAAATTGGAAAAATATTTTGTTCTGGAACTAAATGATTGTCAATTCGTTATCCATGAATAACATCTATCTAAGCCAAAATGTAATTTAGTTTTATAGTTATATATTGCAAGTATCTCCTCTGAGAAAATATGTATTGGAACAGGTGACTAGTTATGGTCGTTACCTAGGTGGTGGAGACAATTATATATACTATCTTGTCTTTTAAAAAATGGGCTATTCCGTAATTTATACTGACCATTCTTTTTCTTAGTCACTATGTTTCAAAGTAATACAGAAAAGACAACTATTCCCTCTTTAGATAATGTGTCTTAATATAAAAAAAACAACATAATTTATTATCCATTACGCCAGAATAAATTTCACAATCAAAACGTTGGTATTGAAATGACATAAACGTTTACTAATATACCATTATCTACGAATTTATATTAACCATGCGTAAATATTTCAAATATCGAACACTAATGATTGCATCAAATGAATAAAATTATTTTTTTTAATTTAATGATATAATAAATAAACGGTTTCAGCTATACATCTAAGATACGGCCCCAAAATAAATGAAAGTTACTGATCAGTGTTAAATAATACTAGTACATTTGGGCGACTTCTTGTTTCTTGAATAAAATATCTGTCGACTTCCATTGTATTTCATTGGTTGCCTTGTAAGCCAAGCCAAAACTGTTAACTTAACAAACCATGTCAAATCATTTACCCATATATTCATTCAAAAATGAATAACATGATCCACCAATCATTAAGCCATAGGCTGTACATTGCTGTTCCCACGCTCACCGTCACGGTCACAGAGCACTTGTTGTTTCAGCGCACCAAAGAGGCATTTAAACGTGAACTTTATTGTCTCTTAAAGACCGGGAGTAATCCTTTGACCCCAATTGGAGAGGAACCTGATGAAAAGGGGCCAAAGTCAGCGACATCTGACAGTCATCGACTCAGTCCGGAGGGAGCCAGTTCCCACGACAACGACGTGGAACAGGAGTATGGATCATTCACGTTACCATTCAATTGGAATAATGCTTGTACCATAATCTACTGAACAGACCATTACATTCTAGGGGCTGGGATTTTGTAGGAAACACAATATTATTTCGAACCCTTCTTCAAAGCATACTTGATATTTTTCTCTGAGAGGTGGAGCCGAAAATATATTACAGCACGTCCAATGAACAATTATGGTTTTGTAAAACCCGAGTGAGTATTATATTTTCCAACAAATTTCAAGAAGAAATGAGTTTGTCCTCATAAATGCCAAGTCTCACCAGACATAAAAAGTCGGTTTCTAAAGCGAGGTTCAAGATGTAATAAGGTGGCCTCATCTGGCCAACTAAAATCCATAAATTGTAAAGGTGGTATAAATTACAAATACTGTTTTGTATGTTATTGAAACTTGTCACTGATAACAACAACACATGACATTATGATATCTCATCTTAAGTTAATATCATTACACGACTTTTGAGAATGATCATTGTCGGTGTCACCATGGAACAGTTTGTCAGATGATGAAAAGGAAATTTGATCCTCAATATTGACATGGGATATATATATATATTGGATGACTTCCATCGAACAGGGACTCCACATGGCTTGGCTTACAATCATTCCTTGAAATAAAACCAACATTTATCGATGCTGATTAATGTAGGGAATGTAACAATTCACGTTTCGTTAATAATACATTGTAACATGAATTTTAACAATGCACGTAAATTTTCCATTATTAATCTTTGTAGCTAATGTCTATTTGGTTAACAAGAAACATGCCAGGGAAAGTATCCTATGATTAAGATAATTTAGATTGGAGTTAAAGTTTTTTTCCGGATGTAAATGCTGTTATTATGAGTTTTAATTAATAATTATAAGAAACTAACAAGGTAAAAGATAAAATCGAATTACATTTTTAACAAACATTTTTATATCTATTTCCTCAGAAAATCTAACACAACTAAAGGTAAAGGTTCATCTAAAGGCAAAGCTAAAAGACGAAAAGAAGATAGTCAAAGCAATGGAAGCAAATTTGAAAAGAGTCACACCATAGCTGATATTCACCACATGCCTGAACAACGAAACACAAACTCACAATTATCAGGCAGTACAGATGTGAATACACCAATAGGAGAAGTACCATCAGAGGTAGATAATCTTTCAAAGGAACAACGATCTTCTCAGAAAATATCAGTTCAAAGTGATAAATCTGTGAAAAGAAACAATAGTTTTGAAAGTTCTAATGTCAGTGTTGAGAAAAGAGTTTCAACAGTTTCAAATCACAGATACAGCCAGAGCAGAAAGACCTCAATTTTAAGTAAACAGTCAAATAGTAATATAACACTTCTAAGTAAACAATCTACAATTGTGTCCACACAATCAACTACCATAGGAGATGATGGGTCTGAAGATGGAGAAAATGATGAGGACGATGATGAAGAAGAGGAAAAAGAATATATTGAAGAGGACGATGAGGCGATAGAAGAGGATGATGGGGATGAAGATAAAGTAATGGAGGAAGATGACGACGAGGAAGATGATGAGGAAGATGATGATGAGGAAGAAGAAGGTGAAGAAGAAGATATACAACATATGAGGGAATCAGAAAAGAATGAAAACGATGATTCGCTGATAAAATCTTTGGTAAAGGCTGATGATGAAGATGACGAAATTATTACTGAAAATGAAAAGTTGAAAGAAGCTGAGATAGCTCAGGAAGCTGTTTCGGAGAGAGATTCTGTAAGTCAGTGTAGCCCTGGGAGGAAAGACAGCACAGAAGAGGAAGAAAATGAGAATGGTGAAGACAATGATGAAACTGAAACTGAAGATGGCGAGGAAGAGGGGACAGAGGGGGAGGAGGAAGAAGAAGAAGAAGAAGAGGAGGAGGAGGAGGAAGAGACGAATAGAAACTCCGCAATTGCAAGTGAAAGTAGACCAGAAAGAGACAAAAGTTTAGTATTAAAAGCCAGTGTCCTTGTTCGACAAGAAAATGTACCAGAAGACTTTCATGTACTTGATAAAGATACGACGGATATTGGCTCTAGTGATGTCAGTTATGTTGAAGAAGAAAATGACATAGAGGACGATGATCCAAATGATGAGGAAGATGGGTATGATGATGATGATGACGAAGGAGAGGATGATGAAGAAGAAGAAAAGGACTGTGAAAAGATAGAAGAAGAAGAAGAAGAAGAAGAAGAAGAAGAAGAAGAAGAAGTGATTGAAACTGAGGAGAACAAAGAAGTCACAATACCAAGTAATATACCCAAAGAGTCTTCTGATAACCAAATGAACGAAGATGATCAGGACACTGAATTCAATACACATGCCAATGAGCAGATAAACACTCCGTTGGATATTCAGATAAAGCATAAAGAATCGACATGTGTTCATAAAAAGAACAGCATTTCGACAAAAGAGAAAATAGTGGATCAAACAATGTTTTCTGATGTTAGAAGTGTTGTAAATTGTGTGCTAGTTGAAAAGAAGACATCAGTAGTCACACGTGAGCAGAAGAAAATCACCGAGGATAATTTGCAAACTGATATTGAAAATCAAAACCAGAAGAAAAGATCTACAACGCCAGACACTTTGATGGGTGATGGGTGTGTGTACATTCACCGACCAAAGAAACAGAGAAAGAAGGAGCGGCCGCCCTCTACACCTCATAGTCGACATGGAAAACGTAGAGGCAAATACGAAGAGAATCCTTATATCGCTACTGCTAATGAAATCAGAAGACAAATACACCCTACGAGAGCTGAGAAGAAAGTAACAGATGGAAAAACGAAAGACCACAAAACTCATTCTAAAAGAGGGAAGGCACCTAAAATACTTGGTCTTGTGAATGAACTAACTTCGTCGTTAGTTCACGTGAGCACATCACATTCAACATATAATAACCCTGTGACACCAAGAAGCAGACTTGGTACTGGTAGTCATTCTGAAGTCGATATAAGAGAACGAAATAAACGGACGAGTAAATCTAAATCTCCTTCATCAAAATCCTCATCTTTTAGAGATAGGAGTGGGAAAAGGAATGTTTCAGAAACTTCAACAGAACCCACGCTCCTGTCCTTAAGTAGTGAAATGATGACACTCCATAAAGACAAAATGCGCGTTAATCCCCAGGATCGCTCAGCCTCACATACACACAGTAAGAGCAGAGAAACTAAAACACTCAAGAACGGTAAAGTGAGAAAAGAAACAGATCTTTCTCCAGAAGATGAAGGAGCTTCCTTGTTACCTACTGAACCTAGCAAGCGTGTCCGAAAAGAAGGTGACGCAAATCTTGACCAACCAAGGAGGAATACGGACAATGGCAAAAGTGAAGTTGAAATAAAAACAAAAGAATCGTGTTTAAGTAATATCGGTGCCATTTCACAAGCAGAAACTCCTAACGCTTGTAAAAAAGGAAGCTTAGAGTACATACCAATGCAGAAAGAGAAAGGTATAGTTAGAACTAAATGTGATGATGATTCAGAGAAATCTGGTAATATATTAAAAGATAAAGCAAATAGAAAAAAGAGTGTAAAATGCAAAGATGAAGAAACCGCAGATGCTTCATTAAATATACGAAGCAAGATTTCCAAGCAGGAAGGAAGTGTGGCTGATACTTCAGAAGGCAAGCCTGAAAGGAGAGTGAAAAAGAGAAGAAAATTCAAAGGCCACATCTCGCATAAAGAAAGTGTTGCATCTTCCAGGGATGAAGGAATGGACGTGATGAATTATGTGCGCAAAGCGCACATTAACGATGACAGTGTAAAAGTTAAAGCAATAAATAGAAATGATACTTTGAAATCGAAAACTTCCCGCGTGAGATGTGCCAAGAAATCAGTTTTCAGAGCTGACACAGTCACAAGCGTATATGACGGCAAAGTTGAAGTGAGGACTTCAGATGTAAAGCATAAAAAGAAGGCGAAAGATAAGAAGAAAAGAGTTGTGCAAAAGTCAAAAAGTGACGTAGATCTAGAGTCTCAGGCAACATCAGAAGGATCCGAAGAGTCAACCAAGCATAGACTAGACTCACAACCAGTGGCTTCGAAACCATCGAAAGAAATGATGGAGCGTGCTCGAGAAGCTAAAGAGGTGTACACTCCACCGCGCCCCTCCCTCGGAGAGAAGAGGGCAGAAAGAGTCAAGGCCATGGAGGAGATCAGAGCTGAGGAGAAGAGGCAAGAGAATCGGATAAAGAGGAAGAAAAAACATGATGCAGAGAAAAAGAAATCAAAATCAAAGAAATAGATTGGTATTGATTAGATCATTAGTTTCTTTGTTTTGTTCCCTTATAGAGAAGTACTGTTATGTCTAATCTCCCCAAATGTCTGAATCTATGGCTACTTTGGTCTGTTTGGCAGAGATTTCGCTTTTTATGACAGCTTGGTTCTCGGGATATATAAATACAAAATGTTTGGGGTTTATGACATGCTACGGCAAAGCAGTTCTTGGCTATAGACGAATTCAAGATAACGGAATTTTACTGTGAGGAGGTATACACACTCAGTATTCTGGTTCACATTGAGAGAAATACCTCCTACAGGACACTTCCGGTCCATTTCAATGAGGCTGCGTTGTGTTTAACGCCGACTTTAACAGTATTTCAGTTATATCAGGTCGTCCAGTCAGTGATGTGCGACAGAGGTTTATTTATTTTTAATACTTGTTATCTAATGCATCAGCCGTGACGTATCTGTATATTGCAACGAGATGCCGAACGAATGCGAAATGGATTTCAATTTGTACTTTAAATGCATTAGTATATTACATGCGTGTATGTATGATGCAGTGTTACCGTTTGTTTGAATATTATGAGTATATCGTGAGGTAAAATAGACATGTTTGTGTCTTGTATATGGAGTGTTCATAGTCCTGTGCATGCGTGAGTATTCTCAACGTATCTATTCCATTTTGTAAGTGTGTTTAGCGTATACATATTTTTTAAGGCATGGGCAAGCTTCCGTTTGTATGCACGTGAGGCAGTAGGTAGCCTAGTGGTTAAGGCGTTCGCTCGTCACGCTGATGACCAGGGTTCGATTCCCACACGAGTACATTGTGTCAAGCCCATTTCAGGTGTCCCCTGTCGTGATCTTGTTGGAATATTGCTAAAAGCGACGTAAAGTCTGTTTGCAAGTGTGACTTGTATGTATGTTTGCATATGCCTTATTGTCAATGGCGTTATGATAGAGTATACATGTTTCGATAGGTGATACGAATGGCTGTTACATTACATTTTCAGTAGTGTGCATGTGCACACAAGAGACAACGAAGCAGACTAAAGATGGTAAGGCAATTACCGACCTGTAATTAGAACTTCTCTTTGAAACCATTAAGCACGGAAGCCTACATTCCGGACAAGCATGATGAATATGACGCGAAATAACTATTTTAACATATCATGAACGGTAGCTATATAAACAAAGATGGTTCACTTTTTGTATCAGTAAAGCGATGTGGATATAATGAAATATAGTAATATCGGGAAATATTGTGACATCACGTAACATGAGAAAACATAATATATGTCAATATCATTAAATATGGTGTTACATTAAAAAAGGGGGATATCATGAAATGTCAATCCAAAGAAATACGGTAATGTTATAAAGATGTAGAAAACATGATATATGTCAATATCGGGAAATATGTTTGTTTTATAAAAGATGAATATATTATGAAATGTCAAAATAAAAGAATATGGTAACATTATAAAGTAGGAGATATCATGATCAATGTCAATATAGAGAAATATGGTGATATCATGTAACTTGGAGATATAATATATCTCAGTTTCAAGAAATATTGTGATACGAAGATGGAGATATCATGAAATGTCAATATCAAGAAATATGGTGTTATAATAAAATATGAATATATCTTGAAATGTCATTATCAAGAAATATGGTGATATCAATGACATGAAGATGGAGATATCATGAAGTAAGGAGATATCATGTAAAAAATGGGGTATATTAAAGACGGTAATGTCATTAAAATCAAGGATCGGAGTGTCGTGAACGTTAAAGATTGATATATCATGAAGGTGGACACCTGGCGACTGTAGACTACTTCACACCTGACAACCACCACACCCTGAACCAACCTCCACACCCTGACCCAACCTCGGTGGATCAGCACAAATTCGCTCATGTTCAGTCTGTGTTGGTCTCATCTCCATTCCTGGAACATGTTACCCCTAAGTACTCCGGGTTAGAATGGGTACCCAGCAACCCATGCTTGTCGTAATAGCAACCAAAAGCATCGGATGGCTAGCCTCACTGACTTTGTTGATTGTATGTACCGACGGCGTGGATCGTTGCTCACAATAATATTTACAGGGTTGGTTGGTTGGTTGTTTAACGTCGCACTCAGCAATATTCCGGCTGTAAATAATCGAGTCTGGACAAGACAATCCAGTGATTGACATCATAAGCATCGATCCACGCAATTGAGATCGATGACATACATCAACCAAGTCAGCGAGCATGACCACCCGATCCCGTGAGTCGCCTCTAACGACAAGCATAGACGCCTTTTAGGGCAAGCATAGGTTGCTGAAGACCTATTATACCCCGGATCTTCACGGGTCTTTTTACAGGGAAAATACAGCTGGAATATTGAGAACGGAGTTAAACGACAAACACTTGTACTTGTTTCACTGTGTATTCATATCTTATATATGCAAACGCACGAAATCACCCGTTCGTTCATGGCTACGAAGTACTTGACTTTACCACTAACTGATGCACGTCTTATGCATACACTCTCTCAGTTCCGCACCATTAAAACACACAAACAGAACAACAAAGCAAGATAAACACACCTACTTTGTTATGTAAAGCTTAAGTTAAGAAATTAACGACGCAAACATATCCATGACGAGATGAAGGTGTTACGTTACATTATTAAAAAGAAAATACTTATTAGTATTATCGGTATTGTCATTTACAGTCTTTCAATGATATGAGGATCTCAGTTGTCAGAAAACTATCAAGACCTTGACATTTGGTAGTACTACCTGCCCTGGAACAAAAACAGTGGGTCAAAGGAATGTTGACATTTGTGACCATATATTATTTATTTGTGAAACATCCAATAGGGTAAGTGATCTGATTACTTTGATCTCACAAGTTATTGATCTTGAGTTGACACACGGTCTCCAATGTTAGCGCCATTTGATTAAAGGGAAGTAACTCTTCGCGGACTATTCTAAAATACGGGAGGTTAGACGGTAGGTGATTAAGGCGCTCGTCCGTTCAGCGTGAAACATGCTTCGCCATAATGGATTCAACAAGCCCCAAACCGGGTCTTGGTGGTAATTAATTAGCAATATTGGCGATGCGACTTATAGCAATATTTACACACGCATCTGCTACATGTAGCAAAATGAAGGAAAAAGTGTATTCATTTAGTAATTTAGCTACATTGTACATCAAACAGTGATGTTAAAGATTTTCACCACTAGGATTGTGGCTAGCTTTTTAGAAATCTGAGGTTATGAGACCCAATGAACATATTGTTGATTCATACGAGGGCCAAAAGAGTATTTTATGTTTTGTATGGAAATATTAATCTGTTTTCCACTGAACGCTGTGTAATGGGGACTTTCGATGCACGTGCCTCGTAGGTTTCCAAACAACGACATTTTACAATTGACACAGCGGTGGGGTAGAAGGGTAAACTTCGTATATGAATTATGCTTTAGAAATATGATATTTCTACAATACTCATACATCAGTTAACACTGTTACGATCTTAAAGTGTGTCCTTAAGTGGGGTGTTTAAATATGTTTTTGATGGTACGTGTTCATTTTGTTTTATTCTTCGTGATGATTTAGAAACCATACATATGCCTTTGAAACTTTCAAATGTATTGTTAAAGATGAAATAATATACATTATTAAGATATGTAGTTATGTCATTATCTTTGCAAATGTGATAGATTTTATTTTTATATTGACACGTTGACGAAATCAATGTCTGTCTGTCTATGTATGTATGTATGTATGTATGTATGTATGTATGTATGTATGTATGTATGTATGTATGTATGTATGTATGTATGTATGCATGTGTATGTGCGTGCGTGCATGCATGCATGCATGTATGTATGTCTATGTTATGACATATGTCTATGTCTATATATGTGTGTGTCTATATGTGTGTGTATGAATGTGTGTATGTGTTTGTTTATGTATTTGTTTATGACATCGTAGTTAGTAAACAATACATACATGTATATATACTATACTGCATTTTTATTTTTGTAATGTATATGTACATAAATTGAATAAGGGCATGTTATAATATTATTTTACAGAATGCAATGACAAGCGATGTACGTTAGTAACCTCACGCTGCGCTTTCGGTTCTAAATTCAATTTATCCCCGTTCACGCTACAGGCATTGCATTGAAAATACAGCAGGTTGATATTCTAAATACAGTTACGGTTTATGAAATAGCAATCAATATATACATATATTCAATGTTGCCTAGGTAAGAAAAATATCGGTTTATAAAGGACGATATCAGTCAAAACAGAAGAGTTGTCCTTTAGGCCTGTCAGAATCTTATGATTATGGAGAAGAATTCCAGATTCAGCCTTAACTTATGTACATCTTGGTGTGTTAGTTTTCGTGGGTTTCATTAAACCGGTAAACATCTGTTTTTCCCTAGGATTGCCTTCTCAGATATCATATCCATGATATATAACTAAAGCACACTTCAAAGAGGCAGCAACCCCGTTTATTCACTCACGTAGAATTTCTGTTTTTGAATAACGTAAATTTGTTCTTGAGCACGCTTAAGCTTCCAAAATAATAATGACAATGAACCTTCTTTTATTTAGCCCCAGTTTGTCACCGGTGATTTAATGTATAGACTATATACTGTATATCGTTGGGCGTGTATGGTATTCCCCTTGTGTATATATTCTATACATCGCGGGGGCGTGTATTTTATTCCACTAGTGTATATGTACTATATATCGTGGGGGCGTGTATTGTATTCAACACGTGTAAATACTATATATCGTGGCGTGTGTATGCTATTCCCCTAGTCTATATACTATATATCGTAGGGCGTGTATTGTATTCCACTAGTGTATATATACTATATATCGTGGGGCGTGAATGGTATTCCACACGTGTAAATACTATATACCGTGGGGCGTGTATGGTGTTCCACTAGTGTGTAAATAGTACTAAATACCATACATCGTGGGGGCGTGTATTGTAGTCCATACGTGTAAATACTATATATCGTGGGGCGTGTATGGTTTTCTCCTAGTGTATATACTACATATCGTGGGGCATGTATGGTATTCCACTAGTGTGTAAATACTATATATCGTGGGGGCGTGCATTGTGTTCCACTAGTGTATATATTATATATCGTGGGAGTGTATGTATGCGTGAGTATGTAAATACATGTTGTTTAATAGCCCCTACGACTCATTGCATATAGTGTATAATAACCAAGAATTATTTTGCTATATGTACATCAAAATTGTGAATATATATTATACGTTGATTTTTATGTAATGTTGATACATTGTTGAAGTATTCTGGAAATAAAACTAATTTATTCTTGAATATGTGTGATCCTGCACCTTATGTTAAATTATCAACAAGGTGAAGTGAAATAGTATGTGTGTGTGTGTGTGTGTGTGTGTGTGTGTGTGTGTGTGTGTGTGTGTGTGTGTGTGTGTGTGTGTGTGTGTGTGTGGTGTGTGTGTGGTGTGTGCGTGCGTACGTGCGTGCGCGCGCGCACAAGTGCGGACTAATGGGACTGGTGCACACACCAAGTTTTATAGTGTTAGCCCACTGAGATACAATGCCACAGTTTAACATGGACACCAAATAGGTAAGGTGAAATGGGGTTTAACGTCGCGTCCAAGAATATTTCACTTACATAGCGACGTGCATGCACGTGTGTGTGTGTGGCTGCTTGTACTATTCCAGACTGATGCCGATTTATAGTGCTTGGCAACTGAGATATCATGCCAAGGTTTAGCATGAATACCCCACTCAGACACAGTATACTGACTCCGAGCCGACCAGTCCTTGTTTTATCCCCTTAATGCCGAGCGCCAGGCAGGGTAACAACAAGTACCATCTTTTAACGTCTTTTGGTATGACGCGGCCGGGGATCGAACCCCGGACCTTCCACTCTCTGGATTGACGCTCTACCACTAGACCATGGAGGCGATCTGGATACCCAATAACCAACACAGACACACTATACTGACTCCAAGCCGACCAGTTCATAGTTTCATCCCTTAAATGTCGACCGCAAGGCAAGGAAACAACATGTGTCATATAAACTTCATTTGGTATGACGCTGCCAGGTATTGAACCACCGACCAAATGCTCTATCCAACTAGACAACTCAGGCACTCGTTGTATTCTTTGTCTGGGTACAGTATGATGGGTCCTTGTGTCTACTTGGACTGCAATCGTTAAAGAATGAAGACCACTTGAAAACGGTGGTCTGAAACCCAATAAAGGGTCATTAGGACTGGCTGACTGATTGACTGAGAGCACTTTCATTTATTTACGTACGCTAACATCCAGTCCACGGGTATTTTTTTAAATAATTACATATTTTAACATGTGCGAGTTTTATAAAGTAACAGATAATAAGAGAGCTGAGAGCATGG